GGTTTACACTTTTCTGGTTAAAAAAAAAAAAAAAGTGGCTTTTAAGAAGTGTAAAGCGTAGCGGCTTGGTGGCCATGCCTACAATCCCGCACTTTGGGAGGCCCAGGCGGGTCAGACTTGGCCTGAAAGGGTTCAGGAGCCGAGGCCAGGCCTGACCAAGCAGTGAGGGAAACGGCGCGCGCCCCACGTCTTACGGACAATGACCAATACATAATAGACTGTAAGTACTTAATAATAATAATAATAATAATGAATAATAATAAAAAATTAGCCAGGCATGTGGTGCAGGTGCTGGTGTAATCCAGCTACGTTGGGAGGCTGAGGCAGAGAACTCACCCCCCCGCCCCCGCCCTTCCCCCGCCCGCCCCGCCCCCCTCCCCTCTTGATACCTCGGATGCAGAAAGGGTTGCAGTGAGCCGAGATTGCGGGCCTGCGAAGCGGCGCGTGGACAAGAGCAAAAGACTTCCATTCAAATATAATAATAAAACTAAGAATTTTGTAAAATGAAAGAAAGGGTATGGCTTTGAACGGGCAGTGCCCTAAGAAGGAATGTCATTACGTTTATTGCACTAAAGAAAAGACAATAAAGCAGATCATTTCTCACTTCTAGTGGACTACTGACATTTCTCTCTAATGCATGCGTTTAAAATAAGAGTCAATTTTGTTAGACTTTTTTTCCCGCTATTTGTCCTGTTCATAAAATAAAGTTGGCTATAGTTTGGTAAAAAAACGTATTTTTAAAATGTGTCTTAGGACACTCATGCTGTTGATGATGTACTCTTTCAGAGGGAATAGCAAAAGGGCTTCATTTTTCAGAGAGCGCAGTCTGCCTCTGCATCCGTCTGTAATTTTCGGGTGTCCTCTCACTCTCAATGAGAAGGGTTTCTGCCTGTCTCTCACTCTCAATAGAAGGGTGTCTAATGACTATCAGGTGAAATGCTCTCAATCTCTTTTGTGCTTTTATTTTCTTCCCTCAGATTTTCAACGTGTATCTGAAATTTTTTTTTTCTCACTCTGTCTCCCAGGCTGCAGTGCAGTGGCACAGTCTCGGCTCACTGCAACCTCCGCCTCCCGGGTTCAAGTGATTCTCATGCCTCAGCCTCCCAAGTAGCTGGGACTATAGGCACACACCACGACACCCAGCTACTTTTTTGTATTTTTAGTAGAGACAGGGTTTCACCATGTTAGCCAGGCTGGTCTCCAACTCCTGACCTCAGGTGATCCACCCACCTTGGCCTCACAAAGTGCTGGAATTACAGGCGTGAGTCACTGCACCCGGCTAACATCTGCAATTTTTAAAGGCTGTGAAATGTAAATATGGCCAGCGAGAGAACGAAGTTTCCTCAAAGTTGTCAGAATGGAAAATATAGATGCAGTGTTTCTGGAGGCGAATGAATTTTTCTCATAGCATTTGATAAAAATGTCTGTCGTTACATTATTTTGATTTGCTTTTTAAAGAGTGATACGATGACTATTTCCTTTAAATGTCATAAATTGTATTTCGTTCCAGTAAGTTATGCTTTAGGAATTAATCTCCTTTGAGACTAATTATTGCCTCTTTAAATAAAAACACTTTTTTTTTTTACCAGAATGTCTTATTTTAATGCTATTAACTGTTATCAAAATCAATATTATAAACTCCCCCCTCCACCCTGCCCCCCACAGTATGCATTAATCTGATACAAAAAGGAAGCTTCTGGTTGTGGCATGCCAACACAAGGTAGAGTCATCTTATTCTGAAAGCTCCTAATATACTTAGCAGCAAGAATACCTCAATCACAGGAAGATGAAATACAAGTGAAATTGGTTGCCATTTCCTGTAAGTTACAACTAGAGGCAAGGGATTCTGAATCTCCACATCCTCATATTCAAAGAACCCTGAAAAACCTCTTTATGAGACATTTATTTCTCAAGATGCCTTTGGAAACATGAATTCGCTTAATAACATTTCTGTAACTTTATTTTCCAAACTGAGATTACAAGTAAAACTTGTTTCATGGTCATGCAGGAAGGCAAAACTAATAAAATAAATGACAGATGCTTTTATTTAGGTAAAATGATAAGTGGTCACTATTATAAAAGAGCTTTGACTACATTTAAATTTCAGATATATTTTACCTGGAGGAGTGTGGAAAGCAAGTAAGAACAGAAGAATAGTTATTTTCATTGAAAATGGGAAATATATTATCACATTATTTTAATGAATATGTAATGGGCAGAACTGTAGGCAGGATTGTCCACTGGTTAAGTCTGAAGGCATCGGAGCGCTAGACTTTGATTTGCATCCTGACTCTACCACTTATTAGGTATGTGACCTTGGGTAACCTACTTAAATTCTCTAGGACTCTGAAGCAGTAAGAGATAATTACAGTATACACTTCAGCCTCATGGGGTTGTGGTAAAAATTAAATGATCTACGACATGTAAAGTACTTAGAACATAGTTGCAAATTAAGGCTACTCTCCTGAGAAATTTAGAGAACAGATATAAAGATGATTCTATCAGTGGAAATAAGACAACTAATTGGAAGTTATTGATTGAATAACTACCATAGACAAGGTAGCATGTCTTTCATTTGGATGTAGACTGATGTACAAGATAAGATTGGTAAAATACGAAACAAATCCAAAAGAATCCTACAATACAAGATAATAACATGTATTGTTTTAAAGGCAAGCTCTGAGTCAAACTGCCTGAGTTAAAAGCCACATGCTGATGCTTATAAGCTTTGTGACTTTGGGAAAATTTCTCAATCCCTACTATGTCTCATATTTATCATCTATCAAAAGAGGATAATAATAATAATTTACAGCTCATTCGGATTACTGGGATCATATAATATCAAATATTGATGTAGATCATAAATGCTACATAGTTCAACCAATAAAAGATGGCTTAAATTTGGTGGAGGAGGAAAAACTTCATAAAAGGTGTGTACTAATGGGGAACGACCACCGAAAGACAGGCCATCTTGCAGTCCTTACTTAAGAAGAAGCTTCCAAGGAAACTCAACTATTGTAAGGAAGACAAAGACAAGGATACCAGAGGAAATGTTACCTTCTGACACCTACTGCTATAACAAACAGTAAATACAATCTTAGTCCTAAGGCAGATAAACATAAAAATCTCACACTAATGGCGTTTAAATCTCAGTTTCTTTTACCCAGTACATAGTGTCTACTATCAGCCAAAAATTACAAATCATACCAAAACAATGATACTATGAAGTGTTGATATTAATAAAACCCAGAGTACTTTTGAGGTACAAGAACTCAGTTTGTAAAAGAAGAACATAAGATTTACAATGAAAAATACAATTCGGAGGAGAATGCAGAGAGTCCTTGATGCTAAACTGAAAGGCAACGAAGAGCCTCTGATCATTTGGAGGACCAGGAGTCACCAATTATAAATATTAATCTTGCATCAGTGTGAAGAGTAGCCTTGTACAGAAGAATACTTGCATTGTAAATGAGCAGTCTTGACATCTACAATAGCCCAGAAGTGAGTATGGATGACAGATGTGAAAATGCAAAGATATGAAAACATATAATCAGCTGAGAAAGAGAGCTGACAG